ACTACAGTTTTTTTGTTTTGTGGTTCCCATATGGAGTCTTTAACTCCATGTTATGACTACTGCATTAGTGTATCGATGCACCGTGACGGTATGGCACAGAATCATTGTTACAGTAGTAAAACTAGTACTCGCTTTTTGGATCTTCTACAATGTCAGTGTAACACAACCTGGTAACAATACAGTACATAATACTAATTTAGTGTTCCTGTCCTTGTCTCCCTCTGCTGTATTTTTTTAATTCAGTGAAACCCTAAAGGAAATAAAATACAGACACTAAATACAGAAAAGTGTCCTCAGGGATCTTCCACATCTCATTGTGCCTAGGCACTGCACAGTTTCTGAATACTGAGCACTCTGCAATACCATAAATTTTGAAGTGTTGAAGTATATTTTAAGGAATAATCCTGCATTGGTTGGATGATGGACTAGGTGACCTAACAGAGCTGTCTCCTGTCTAATTCCGTCTGCCCATAGGGTAGAGAAATGGGGCAGATCATTATGAAATGTCTCTTTTTCCATTGTAGCTCAGAGCCTTAGCATTATTTTAACCCCTTCATTCCAGAATTAATTGCTACCACATGCAGAAACACTATATTAGTCGTCCTTGGGGGGATAAGGGATTGAAATAAATGTGTTAAATATTGTACATTTTAAAACCTCAAAGTGTATCATAGTGAAATATTTCATTACAGTTTTCTATTTAGTAACTTTAATTTCATTATTTAAAATTGTGTAGAATCTGAAAAGTATACATTCAGGCAAATACAGTTTGAGCAAAAAAGCAGTAACTGTTTTTTAATAATAAAAAAGTATCTAAAGTGCTTTTCACTGATATTTTAATTATTTGGTGGTATTCATATCACAGTATCTTTAACTTTAATCATTTGCAATTTGAGAGATGTACTGAGTTCCAGCTGACATTTTAAAGACTCAAAGCCAAAGCCTATGGTTCTGGAAAAGGAGATTGCTATTTGCTACTAATATCAGTCTGGGTTGCTGAGGGAATTATCTCCATCCTTACTAAGTTTTAACATTCCAAACTTGCCTGTTTAAGATTTTTAAAATAGGATTTAATGCAACAAGACTCTTTTTACTTGCCAGCACTTTTAACACAGGTTTGGCATGGAGATACAGTGTCAGAATTTTGCTATAGAAACAGAAGCCAGAGAAATTGATATATGAAATGTTATAGTCCATGCTTCTGCTTTTTGTGTCTTTTATTTTGAAGTTTAGGAGAATGGTTTTTCAGTAAATTGAACAAACTAAAGAAAATGGTGTGTAAAGAATCTATCTTTTTGGATTTTTTTTTTTTTTTTAATAATACTGGCTCTAGCAAACAGCTACTTGCCCATAATGATAATAAGTAGCTTAAATTAATTAATAAAATTACAAATCCGGTTTAAATAAAAAAGCACTAAAACTTTATTAATTTGATTCAGATTTCAGTGTGTCACTATATTTTCGTAATTCTATTTTGCAGCTGATGAAAATTGCTATTTATTTTTAGTAGAATATTGTTTCTTGAAGACAGTTCAGCAGTTAAACACTGAACTTGTGTCCTTTAATAAAACAATTATTTTTTTCACAATTAAAAAAAGAAATGTACTGTTTCACAAATCTTGTTCAGAATCTTGAAACTCCAGACTGTCTCCTGTCATTCAGAGTAGTAGCTGTGTTAGTCTGTATCAGCAAAAAGAACCCATTTTTTCATGTTCTGTGTGTGTGTATATATATCTTCCTACTGTATTCTCCACTGCATGCATCCGATGAAGTGGGTTTTAGCCCATGAAAGCTTATACCCAAATAAATTTGTTAGTCTCTAAGGTGCCACAAGTACTCCACGTTCTTTTTCCTGTCATTCAGTGGCTTGCTGTAGGTTTTTGAATTATTCATGTTTTGTATACAGTACAGCTTTATATTCACAGGTACCAGTTACTTTCCTCCTGAAAATACTCTGATTTCTTAATCTGTTGAGCTGTGACTTCATGTTTTTATGAGGTTAGCCATCATTTGGAAGCTTTGAAGACCCAAGTATGGGGATTAAATGAAACAGTACAACAGTTCAGACTATATAGGGGACCTAGGGATGCTGAGGGTGGTTTTTTAAAAAAACAATACAATAATATTTTACCGATTGTCCACTGGAAAGGGTGTAGATACAGTTATCAAAGCATGGTTACCTTAATTTTTCATGAGTTAAAAAATCTGCTTTTGAAATTAGTTTGTAGTAAAAATGGTGAAAATTAGAATTCATTTTCTCTAACTTTTTTACCAACTTTCTGCCAGCAAAGGTGTGTGTTTGCTAAATAATATGGCATATGCCACCCATTTGTGTCCTGACAAAAGGTGAATAAAACATTAAACAGACACTCTAAACTACAAAACTATGTTGCTTAGAGAACTCCTAATCCTCTATCCAACTGCACTACAGTTATCCCAACCCCTGTAATGCGTGCTTTCTCTTCTGTTGGTTGTGTTCTGTGTGCTTCTCTGTAACCCTAGCTACAACTTGGATTGGTCTTTATAGGATGTCCTCTGTTTAAATGGCTATTCATTATAGCAAATGTTTCACACTCTCCTTTCCTCTGGGAAACAGTCTTGGCTCAAGTTCAGTTGCCACTTGGACAAGAAGTTTCTCCGTTTTGATTTCATTTTGATTTTGGTGTAGTAAATGGTTTGATTTGGAAAAGCTTTCTGCATTCATGGTAGCAAGCTGTCCTATTTGTTTGAAAAGGAGGATCTTCTTATTGTAATTGTAACTCTATTTATAAACTAGATGTCAGTTTGGATTAAGTTGTTCAATGCTAATTCCAGCATTTGTGAGAACAAATTTGCCCTTTGATTTATTTGAAAAAAAAAAAAAAAAAATTAAAAATCCAGATCAGAAAACTAAGAAAGTTTTCGCTCTTGCTTTCTGTAGAAAACCAAACCAAATAAACATTTTTTTTAATGGAAGCATTAGGTCAAAATGTCAGATAGGATTTGAATCAAAATCTGATTTGTAAAGTAATATTCTTCTTTTTGTTTCAGCTGTAAACTTTCAAAGAATTTACTCTGTAGTTCTGAAAATATTTCAAGAATCTTTAAATTCCACAATTTTCCTTTCCAGTCTTTATTTATTAAAAGGAGTAAATTACAATTAAAAAGGAAACGAACTTTTTATTTGTAAGATGATGCTATGAATTTAAACTGACAAACTACAAATTCAGTCTACCACCCACTCCTTCATCTGCTGTGCGGTATGTGCTATACACAGTACATTTTGTATATATTTTTTATATAAAACGCACGCGCACACACACCCTCCCGACCCCAACCCCAAAATGGAAAACTGAGAAATTTCAGCTCAAACTGGTTTTGTTTGACCCAAAGTGAATTTTTTTCATTTTTTGTTTTCCAAGAAAAATTTTAAAAAATTAGTTTTGGTTTGAACTGAACTGGATTTTTTGGCTCAGTTTGAGTATATTGTGTAAGGTCATACCTCTTGACCTATTTATTTTTTCATTGGGATCATTTCATTATATGGAAGGTGCTCAGATACCACAGTGTAAGGGGCAAAATATAAGAATCTAAATGCCGAGAGAACAGTGGCTATATGATATGAATATAGGGCCAGTCCTGTTTCCATTGAAGCCCATGGCAATGTGACAGGATCAGAGTCTAACACAGTCAATGAATTATGAACATTGCTGTTATTTATGTATTCCTAAATTATGATGTATTCTTTCAGTGCTTTTTGTGGTTGCTTTAACCTAGCTTTAAAATGGCTGGGTACTACTTTTGTGTGCTTCTTGTGTCTTTTTGTGGGAAAGACTGATTTATAGGGAGGGTATGAAATTGTTTATATCTTAGTGTACATCATGGGAGAAGTGTCTTACTCCATTGAATGCATATTGAAGGTAAATCAGTTCTTGAAACACTCATTGATTTCAGTGTTATGAACAGAGTTTGGCTGACGGTTTTAAGTCAGTGGTTTGGAGATAAAGAGGTAATCGAAGAGAAATTAAACTTTAAACTGTAATGGTTCATATTCAAAGTTGGGTGTCACTGTTCAACCTCTTACATTTTGCATCCTGTTGGTACTGTTTGTTGGCATAAGTCTAGTGGATTTTATTTTTTTAAATGCCAAAAAGCCAGCCAATGAAAAAAACACTGCAGAAGTAATGTTTTTTTTATTTTATTTTTTGAGTAGCAGACTATAGGAATTCAGTAAAACGATTCTGAAAGTAGTTTCCTTCAGAATGCTCACTTTTGAAGAAGTGAGGTTCTTACCCATGAAAGCTTATGCTCCCAATAATTCTGTTAGTCTTAAAGGTGGCACAGGACCCTCTGTTGCTTTTTACACTTTTCTATGGTAATTCCAGTGAGTCTTGACTCTTGCTTGTTACAGTTGGCACTTAATACAGATAGCATTTAGTACTAAAAGCTTTACTTTCTTTGAAATTAACTTTTTCTTTCAAAGTAAAAGGTCAGACTACTCATTCTTAAGTGTGCAATTTAAATAGTTATTGCTAATAATCAGTCTTGCTTGTAGAAACATTTAGTTGTGAGTCATGTCCTGATTTTTTGTGTGACAGTTATGTAAATGTTCTAAATTAAAACAGGTTAGATTGTATCATTCTGTTTACTGACATAGTAGCCTGGAGTTGATCACTTAAATTAACTCTGGTAATCCTAAAGTGTTTTTACAATCACAGCGCACGTGTATGATTGAAATGTTTAATATATTGGCTTCTATAGTGAGTATGTTACAAGTGAAATGCAGTAGAAATGTGCCACGTGCATTTAAAAACCCCCCACCATTGTTTATGTCTTTGGGGCTTAATGGTAAATCTTTGTTTTAGAAAACCTCCATATGCGAGTTTGGTCTCTTATTTTAGAGATGGCAACATGACTTTAGAAAGCTTGAGAGCAGAAAATATAGAAATGAATATTCTCTGATAGCCTAAATGATAAGCACCCCACAAAGTATATAAAGCTATGAACACCTTTTTTAACAGGCTTTGAAGACTGCAGATGAAGACACACATTCTAAACATTTAAGCATATTAAAAATATTAATACTCATGGAAGAGGCACAAGACTTACCAGAACAACCTGTAAGTATATTTGTAAAATCTTATAAATTATTGGAAAATAAGTCAGTAGTCTAAAAAAAGTCAATTGTGATTATTCTAATGGATAACAGGAAATATGCCTTACATTTGTTGTGTGTTTCTAGATGTGGGGATCATTCTTCCTGTTGGTAAAATATATTGGGCATTAGCCTAACTGGGGTTATACAAACTACAGTAATAAAACAAGTAGATAGGTACATTTGAAGTTTGTAATATCTTCGTTTAAAATCATGGATAATAAATATTTGCTTTGTTCAGAACCTGTAAAATGAAATACATGGTTTCAAACCATTTATAGAAAATGAAAAATTACTATTTAAGATAGCACTTGTAAACTAGTTACTGTAAACTCTATGCTCTTTAATTTCTTCTGGTACCCTGAAGAGCTTAGAGAAGTTCCCTATTCTCTAGTACATTGTGAGCAGCTGTTGCAGGAAAGCAGTACTGTCACCTTTAATTTAATTTAACATTGTCTGTAGGTAAGAAGTATGGTTGGAGTGATATATGTTTTTAAATCCTATTTGCTGCATCCTAAAACCAAAGTTCTGCTAATAAAGATTTTAGGGTGAATAACTGATTTTAAATACTGTAACAAAAACAAGACATTTTAATTTTTACTATTTATATTTACAGTTTCAAAATTCCTCAGAGGTGCTTCTTATCACTGACCATGCTCTTCTTGATAGAAAAATTGTCAACAAAGTTCTTAAAGATATTTGAAATGTTAGTGCATATTTGTTTTTTAAATTACTTAGATGGAATGTTATTGTCAGTTCTGGAAGAGTAAATGTGAATGCAGGATAATAGTCAGCATATTTGATATAAAAGTCCCACATCTAACTTTAAAGTAAATGCAACAGTGTAATAATTAAACACATTACTTTACAAACAAAAAAATTAATGACAATGTTATATTTAGAATTCAGTCAAGCTTGATGCAAACAAAACAAGAAAACATTACTTCATTTTTATGGTAGCCTGTGGCTACTTTTTATATTGAAGTTATCAAATGTACTAGAAAACATGGGGGTATTTTTGGGAGGAATGTAGATTTAATAATCTTTGCATAGGAAATATTTTGGGGATGTTCAGACTAGTTAACTGGAGGAGATATAGTTCTTCAATCTGAGAAATCTAGTTAATATTTTGTAACTCTTCGTGTATCACAAGAATGGATAAACTAACATGGGGGCATTCAATGAAACTGAAAGGCAGGAAATTTAAAACTAATCAAAGAAATACTCTCCTGTACTACACACACACGAGTGGGAAACTGCCACAAGAAGATTCAGTTGAGATTCAGAGCTCTGTATGATTCAGAAAAGGATAAGACATTTATATAGGTAATGAAAACATCCATAGTAGCATCCATAGGTAAGGAAAACAGGTCTATGAATCCTCATGCTTCATTTATAAGCCAGCCTCTGACAGGAGTTAGGAGGAAACTTTCTCAATGGGCAGATTATTCCAAAATTACCCACTATGAATTTCCTTGCAATTTTCTCTGAGTCTCCTAGTAGCCACTGTCCGAGATGGACTAGTGGAATAGATTGACCATTGCACTGATGTGCTATTTGTATTGCCTGTAAATATTTGTTTGTCACCTGTACCTAGTGAAGGAGGGAACTAATGAATGTAGCTAACATTATTTTTCACAGTGAGAGCATTGTTGAAACCTAGTGTTACCATTTAAAAATAAGGAAAGGAATGAATTCACCCTTGCAAAATTCTACTAGCTCATTAGCACTTGATTGATATTTTATATATCTGGGTTCCCAGTTTTTCCCCCTTTGATTAATTATGGCAACTGTTACTTTGAAAATGTAATCTATTACAAACTACTGATTACTAGTACAAAAGATAGTGTTACATATTATTGATTACTTATCTGATTTATTTTACCAAAATATTTGGAAGAATGGGGAAAAAGGAGTAATTCCAGACAATTTATTATTTCCTATTTCAGTCGGTATTATTCAAATGTGGAATAACTGTAATGTCTGCTTGAAGTTTACATGAATTGCTTTTTATAGATGTTGTGTGGTATGATTGTTACCCATCTCAAAATATCCCACCATAAAGGTTATGTCCTGCATCCTGACATCTTGATAGGCAGGACAATTTAGTCCCTGTTTTTTGCTGTCCCTTCTTTTCTTTCCAAGTGCTTTGCAACAATAAGAGGGGCTGTCTGCTGCATAGTGTGGGCTGCCACTCAGTGGTTTGGGGTTCCCAGGAGAAGGACTGGGAATTGAAGACGAAGGTGAGGAGGTAGGTATGTGGCAAGAGTGATGGTCAGTGATCCAAGGGTTACTGTTTCTTATGAAAAGTTATTGTATTATTTATCGGGATTACAATTTTCAAAAGTAATCCCATACCGTGATCTGTTTAAAAAAAAAAAAAAGTGATATAATTATATGTAACTTATTCTAACCCTGCATGGCAAAAGGTGGGCAAGTAGATTTTGTGTCACGGCTGGTAAATTTTTCTTGACAGTTTTGCAAAATTGAGATAAAAATTTCAAGAATCAATAAAATCTCATGAGCATGGCCAATTTTAAAATATTATTTGAATACTCATCATAGACATCCTGCATATATTGCCCTCCAATATGGTGATTACTTCCCATAAACACCAGCAACAAGAAAGCTAGAGCTGCTGCTGCTGCCAGAGCAGAGAGGAGGAATAGCCACTATTGGGCTAGAGCGATGACCGAAAAATGCATTGCTCTTCACTTGTGCATGAGCTTTCAGTGCTGGGCAGTATTCTGCAATCTCGGAAGCTGAGATTGGAGCACTATTTTACTGCTGTTGCATTCACAGCCAGTCATTCTGTTGTATTCTTTTGCTATAACTACCGTGTTTCCCCGAAAATAAGACAGTGTCTTATATTAATTTTTGCTCCCAAAGATGCGCTAGGTCTTATTTTCAGGGGAGGTCTTATTTTTCCTGGAGCTTCGGGGCCTTATATTCCGGGGTGGCCTTATTATCGGGGAGGTCTTATTTTCGGGGGATGCCTTATATTACAGCGAGAGGCAAAACTGGAAGTAGGTCTTATTTTCGGGGGATGTCTTACTTTCGGGGAAACAGGGTAGGAGCCCTATTGTTGGAGTTACAAACTGCATGCAAATGGTTCAGGCTAATCTATTAAACTATTATGAAGACATTACAGTTGCTCTGTAAAGTTGAAACTAAATTTCCATTATAATTCTGACTTTACCTCCAAAATAGATAAAAAAAAATCTCATTCTCAGAACTAGTAGGTTAAGTCTTAGACTGAGGTAGAATTTTTCTACAAAATTAGATGCTTTTGGACAAGGGGTTTTTCAGTTATGAAACCCTAGCATGAGGAGGTGGGCGGTTCATCAGTGTTGGTTTTTGTTTTGTTTTTTTTTGCCAGTTGGTAGCAAAATAAAATAAAAACTAGAAAGGAAAGAGATGAGATTTGGATCCTTGGACACTAGATTAGCTGCAATGTAGTTTTGAACCCTGGAGTTCGATCAAATCATGTCACACTTTAATCATTAACTTTTTCACTGGGAACATTGGTGTGGACCTCAACTTTCAGCTTTAAAAAAAAAAAAAAAATCTTTGTCCATTTCACTTGCAGAGGGAGACCTCAAACTATAGCCTAGTCCCTGGGTCAGTGATTAGGAAGCTTCTTCCAGTAGTCTCACCAAGGGGCATGAGTGATGGGGGGAGCTGGTTGTAGGTGTAGGGGCCAACTGACTTTCTAAGGCTCATGGGAGAGGTGGTGTGTAGGGGACCTGATGAGGTTTATGTAGGCAGAATGTTAATATAAAAAAAAATATGGAGATATCCTTATCTCCATAGAGCTGGAAGGGACCCTGAAAGGTCATCGAGTCCAGCCCCCTGTCTTCACTAGCAGGACCAATTTTGCCCCAGATGCCTAAGTGGCCCCCTCAAGGATTGAACTCACAACCCTGGGTTTAGCAGGCCAATGCTCAAACCACTGAGCTATCCCTTGCTATGATTTACTGGGGGTTCTGCCCTCCTGCAGACTGTCCTGCCAGCAAAAGCTGTTTTCATCCACTCCACCCCCTTCTGTCTTTCAGTGGTTCACAGCAGTGGGACTCCCTGCTGAAACACAGGTGTGCCAGGTGGAGAAGGCAGGGAAGAACTTGTGTCTCTTGGTTGCTTTTTCTTTTTGTGCCTGTAGCTCCTCCTAAGTGCTCTTTTCACTTAGATCTGTTTGTTCCCTTATCCCTGGCTCTCTGATGAGGAATCAGCTATTTTCTGGAGTTGTGCATTTTGGAAGACAGGTCTCTGGCTGGGGGACAAGGGCAGAACTGCCAGGAGCAAATTGGTCTGTGTTGTAAGGGAATGCTCAGGAGCAGGAAGAGAAGACACATCTCCTGTTGTTCATGTCAGCAGGACTCCACAGGAGATTCATTAGGTTCAGAAGTGAAGTACTACCGCTCAGCTTTTCTCTGCAGCACTCCCTTCTATCTCCCCCACCTAGCCCTCATCATTCTTTGAAGTCTACCCATGTTGCCTTGCTGAATGCCCACTCACCACCATCTTCCACATACCCCCAAGTTTCTATGGCTTGCAGGAGTGCCACAAATATAAGGATTACAAGGGGTAGATCTTGGGGAGGTCTGACAAGGCTCACAAAGCTCACCTGGTGGATAGCACATTTATGCAGGTAAAGGCCTCCTTATGTGCTCATAAAGTCCACTGGAGTCTTAACTCCCCTCCTTAGGATGATTGAATTAGTGATACTACACCTCTGCATGCCTCAAGAATTGGGGGTGTGGTTGGGGAAATGCTCCACAAGATTTGGGGGGCATTGTGGCTAATGAGCTGAACATGAATTTCCAGTGTGATTCTGTGGCCGAAAGGGCAAATGCGATCCTTGTTTGTATAAACAGGAGTCCCGAGTAGAAGTAGAGGTTATTTTACCACTGTTTTTGGCACTGGTCTGACCACTGCTGGAATCCCGTGTCCAATTCTGGTGTCCAG